TGGTAATGCGTACTGGTGCATAGTGTAATAAAATAGCATTTTTTTCTTTTATTGCGCATTATACTGCAGAATTATTTAGTGGAATCATTAAAAATAATATTGGTCAAATTCCTTTCGAATGAGGAATAATGTGTTCAAATATGAAGACGAAAGCTTCACTGTGGAGGAAAATATTTACGTTAAAAAGTTGTAAAGTTGTTTTTTCTTATCACCCTGTACTTCCGAGGTACTTCAATTCTTGGACCTGTCTCAGACTGTTGTTGTTGATGTGTATCCTGAGTGGTCCTGGATTTTTGCTTACTTTCATTATCTCTGTTTTATTGATGTTGATCTTCGTGTCGTAGTTGTTACATTCTTCTTTTAATCTGGTGGTGTGGTGTTGGAGACTTTGTTCATCTTTGTGTACCAGGCTTTGGTCGTCAACGAAGAGCAACATCTGGGTAAGCGCGCAAAACCATTTAGCAAAAAATGAGACAGATCTGACGGCCTCGGGACAGATTTTAGAGCTACCGCCTGCGACAGCAGGTCACGGTAGGATACAAGCTTAGGGTAGTAAAAGACTACAGGTGTTTATGCCCCCATCGACACAATGTAGATCATAATATAAGACTCGGTCTATTAAGCCCAACCCGGGCTGTAAGGAATATAAACAAAAGTCACAACAGAAATACCGACTTAACGTGAACACCCGTCCAAGACATTCGATAAAAATTCTCCCCAGCTGGGAATGGAACTCAGGTCCTCCTTCGTACGACTGCGAAGCGCTTAACTTTTACATCACTGACGAATGTCTAATAGGGCAGTCATTCAGAATTTAAAACAAAAACGAAAGATGGTAGACCTAAATAGATCGTGTTCTTTTTTTCTCGCTTTTTCTTAAAATGTAGATGTTTTATGCTCCCATCAGCACAACCTGGATCCTCCAGTAAGCGGGTTTCTTTAACCCAGAATGTCAGGGATGGCCTTGGCTGAAAAAACTATACAGAAAACAGATGGAGATGCTTGATAAATTACCTCCCAACCTAGGAATCGAGCTCATGTCTTCTGCCTGTGACGTTGAAATGCCTAACTGCTACACCACAGACGCCAACGAGACTATTGACGGTGCCGGCAAAATTCAAAAGAGGGAGGGGAGGGGGTGGACACCGGTTAGGATACCACTCAAACACACACATACACACACACACACACACACACACACACACACACATACACACACACTCAGACTAATAAACAAACACACATACACCATACACACATAC